TTCGTTTGACTTCCAAAACGTTCAGAAACCAAAGCGTGGCTTCTGATGGGCTGCAGAAAGCTCCTGCAGCCCATTGGTAGCCCTGCTGGATGTTCGGCTTCCAAAAATAGTTTGCACACCGGAACAGTCACTTCCAAGTTTGCCACGTTCAGGAGCCAAAACGTTTGGGAACTAAGCTGTTCGAAAACCAAGGTACAACTGTAGTGGATTTTTTGAAAGCAAGAAAAATCAATCTTAATTAAGCCAATGACAGTATGGTTTTAGGTGATGCTACTATCACCTAATGTGTTCAGCTGCATTTAAAGCACAAATTGCCTTCAAGCTACAACAATGGCACTCAGTGGCATAGAAATGCAATTACCTTATGTCGAGAATCCCAGAGTATGCGCCTTTTGTGAAATGTGGCCTCATTTTGCAGTGCAACTTTTGTAGATTTCTACTTAGTTTTGATTTTGTTTTAATTTTATTGGAGGCTCATCCAATAATTTTATACCAGGGTGGCTGTTTTCAGTTATGTGCGTCAATATTTGTCAAAAAGTTGTTTGCTCTTGTGCTTCTGTCCTCTATACAGTTGTGTCTAGTTAAGTCCACAGTGGTTGTATATATTTAATCTGTGGAATCCTGCTCCTCATGCAAGGAAAGCAATTTAAAAAAAAAAAATGAAAAATGAATGAAATAAATATTTTATTAAAGAGTGGATTACATGATATCTAATCTAAAAAGTGATTTGAAAAAATAAATGTAATTGACGTGGGTTCATAAATTTCATGATGGTCTACTTTTCACAGATTTAAACAATCTTGTTAGTGATGATTAAATTATGCCTTATAATGCAATCTATTAACCCGTAGGCAAATCTAGCTTTTAATCACACAGAATGTTGTGTCAGTAAAGGGATGATTCATAAAGTATGTCTTTCATCAAGGCAGAATAACAGTAACTAAAGGGAGAAAGAGGATATTTGTGTATATGTGTTGTCACAATCGTGTCTCCCATTGTCTCTAGCAAAGTCATTTAGAAACACACTTTAAAAAAAAAAAAAAAAAAGTTTATTTATTTATTTATTTAGTCAGTCATTCAGTCAGTCGCTTTATTTTGCCCAGGGCAGCCCAAATCAATTTACAACCAAATAAATACACAAAAAAACCCATTATTTACCATTATCTCTTTGCTTCCCTCAACCACCCATTTCTACAGTCAGCTTTCTGTGTGTGGTGTGAGAATTACTAAACATATAAATGTGTTTCAGGGTGTGCAAACACACCTATTTATTGATTATTATTTTTTATGTCTGTCCCACTTCCTAATGAAAAACCTCTCCAGGCAACTTCTTTCCAATAATTTTTTATTGGCCACATGCTAAGGAATTCTGTACCCAGAAGTCTTCATAGGCTGCCACTGGCTTTCTGGGCGCTTGAAGCCAGAAAGTTGGGGGGAAAATAAGATAGGCAGGTTCCACATAGGATTCTTGTATTTCAGGAACACTTAACGTAAAAAGCAACTGAGAGAAATGTTCTGTTTCAACAAAGAGACATTGTTATTATGTAACAAGATTTATGCTTTTTAAGTATTGAGTGTGGAGGGTATAATGAGGTGGGACACGGATTTAAGAAAAGATCCGTAGGATAACAAAGCGTGGCAAGAGCGTGGAGAGTGCATTTAAAGACATACACTGTGGATATTCTCAAAATATAAGAGCTTAATTTTTAACCTAATCATAGGACCATCCAGTACAATAGATGTCACCAATTTACAGTAAATGTTAAGAAAATGGTAATGGGGTAATATTCATAGAATCATTAAATTGTAGGAGAGGGATGTGGGTGGCGCTGTGGTCTAAACCACTGAGCCTCTTGGGCTTGCTATTCAGAAGGTCAGAGGTTCGAATCCCCGTGATGGAGTGAGCTGCTGTTGCTCTGTCCCAGCTCCTGTCAACCTAGCAGCTTGAAAGCACGTCAGTGCAAGTAGATAAATAGATACCGCCGTGGCAGGAAGGTAAACGGCGTTTCAATGCCCTCTGGTTTCCATCACAGTGTCCTGTTGCACCAGAAGTGGCTTAGTCATGCTGGCCACATGACCTGGAAAGCTGTGGACAAATGCCAGCTCCCTCAGCCTGAAAGCGAGATGGACACTGCAACCCCATAGTCGCCTTTGACTGGACTAAACCGTCAAGGGGGTCCCCGTAAAATTGTAGGGTTTGACCAGAACCCGTGAGGGTCTTCCAGTCCAAAACACACACACACACACACACACACACCCCGCCATCCAGTTATAGAAGACTGGATTTAATACAGCCACTCACCTCTTTAGTCATGGTGACAGACCCTCTGTTTCTTGCATTCATTAAAATCCCATTGAAAACAAATACTAAAGATGTAACACACTATAAATATTGTTTATCATTCTGTTCCTTATGGAAAACACTCATTCCACTACTGCTAATGCCATCCGCCTCTTCTGAACAATCACAGTAGCAAGATTGAGAGACTTTGAGCAAGCGAGCAAACCGGAAACCTTCACAGAAATTATTTGCCTGAAACTTTGTGAGAATGGCCCGTCCAGCACAAATGTCGAAAATTAATTGTTAGCATTATGCTCAAGGTATTTCATTTCCCACTGCTCATTAGGAATGCTGCCTCTGATATTTGTCATCCTCTTAAGACTGTGGGGGGGGGGGAAACCCACGTTTAGCTATAGGCTTCAGCAAATGTAAAATTACTCATCAAGTTATAATGCAAAAAAAGTTCAGTGTGGTTCGAATTTTGCGTTAAAAATAAATGAGCTACTTTCAACTTTTCTGTTTGGTGAATATTTAATATATGGATTTAAAAAATGTATATTAATCATACGTTAGAGCCCTGACATTGCTTTTAGTGAGGATATTTACAATGAATTTTTAAAGAGCATAATAAAGTATGTATTATTAATCACGATGCTAAATATGGAAAACAAAGCAGTAATGGGAAGGTTATTTATGTAACACAAAGACTCCAAAGGGCTTAGAATTCAGGTGTTATGCTAAACCTACCCCCCTGTCCTTACTGCATATTCCTCCCCACATGCAGATCCTCAATGCTTCTCTTGCAATCTGATAAACATAATTTGCATATTTAGTTAAAAACTCCCAACTCATCCATTTATCATAAATGTATCTACCAGCAAATACCTAAACTAGTATCGGACAGTTTGCAGGCAGTGATTTGTCCCAAGATGTTCTCATAGGGATTTCTGACTCCTCGTTCTTTTATTGAGACAGAGCTACAGTGCCATGATGTAATTGGTAGGCCTTTCGCTCTTTCCTGGTTCAACTAATTCCACCATTTTCAGGGAGTTTTGCTTTGTTTTCGTCTAGAGTTCCTGATCTTAAGCGTAGGTTTCCACTAATCAAAACACACCCCTTTATTTTTCTCCCCACTCACCCCCAAATAAAGGTGTTGGAACTTCTCACTATTGCAAAAATTCTACTCCAGATGAAAGTTTGTTGGGAAGCATCCTCCCTGTAATATTCTACAAAGCAAGAGGAAAGTTAAGATAATGTTCTTGTCCTCAAATGAACTGAGGAGAGGAGCCAAGCTTGCTGGTAGCAAAACACATGATTTGAGATTCAGTCCACTTTGAAAAGTTCATTGATGTTTGCTCACAAGGAAGTGGCGGGGGGAAGTCTCCTGCCAACCTAGCAGTTCAAAAGCACGCCAGTGTAAGTAGATAAATAGGTACCACTGTGGCGGGAAGGCAAACAAAGTTTCCATGCGCCGCTCTGGTTTCGCTAGAAGCGGCTTAGTCATGCTGACCACATAACCCAGAAAAACTTTCTGCGGATGTCAGGGAACTGACATCGGAGCGAGAGGCGAAGGGGAGGCTCCTAGATGATGCTGGCGAAGGACCCAGCAGCAGGGGGAGAAACAGCTCAGTAGAGGGGGAAGCAAATCAGCGCAACACCAGGGATAAAGGGGGGCAGATGGGGGAATCGGAGAGAGGGCTCCAGGACTCTTCACTGGACCTCAGTGAGGAGGGCACAGGTCCTCCGCTACCCATGCCCTCCCTGCGCAGAAGACTTCCGTGCAGTGAGAGGAGGAGGAGACTGGGTGTCAAACAACTTTTATGTTGGAAGAGGTTCAAGAAACGCCCACTGACGGATTCTGCCAGCGACTGAGGCAGCCACGATGAGAAAGGGCTGTGCAGTCAGAAAGGTTTAACAAGGCAAATTAGCCTAGAGAGGCACCAGTTTACGCACGAGTAACTCATACTCACTACAGCGGACAAATGCCATCTCCCTCGGCCAGTAAAACGAGATGAGTGCCACAACCCCAGAGTCGTCCGTGACTAGACTTAACTGTCAGGGGTCCTTTACCTTTACCTTCTTGTATTTGTCATGAGACAAAGGTATTTGAGAGCAGAAGCAGTAAAAGGAAGCAGTAAAGGAGTCTAGAAATGTTGTGAAATGCTGAAAAGCTGCAGAATCACTCAGCATGCGGAATCACTGTAACTCATTCTCTGTATAAATGTTTGTATCGGCTTGCAGGAAGACTCAGTGGGGCCTGAGTGGGGTGGAGTCAGTGTGTGTGTGGAGCCTGACCTAGGCATGGAGCCTGTGCTCAGTGAAGCCTGTACTCTGTGTATGCTCTGAAGCTAGTTTAAATCTTCTGTTCACTATGCTGTTTACTTGCAAACAAGTTATAACTCAGTAAAGCTATTCTTCTTTTACTGAAGAAGACTGCGTTATTAACACTGCTTGAGTGTTTAAAAAAAGGCCTCAAAGCGGTTTACAAAAGATAGAACAATGAAATAAAGGAAAAAAATACAACACTACCTTAAAACATGCAAAAGTTAAAATACTAAAGCAGGTTAAAATTACCTCAACTTCCTTAAACATCTGGGTATGAAGATTTTTAGCAGGTGCTGAAAAGAATACAGTGAAGGTATTGGCAAAGTGTAACAACAACAACAACAAATTTACTATTTATACCCCACCTATCTGGTGGGGTTTCCCAGGCACTGCCGGTGTGGTGTAGTGGTTAAGAGTGGTGGACTCATAATCTGGTGAACCAGGTTCGATTCCCGGCTACTCCACATGCAGCTGCTGGGTGACCTTGGGCTAGTCACACTTCTCTGAAGTCTCTCAGCCTCACTCACCTCACAGAGTGTTCATTGTGGGGGAGGAAGGGAAAGGAGAATGTTAGCCGCTTTGAGACTCCTTCGGGTAGTGATAAAGCGGGATATCAAATCCAAACTCTTCTTCTTCCTCTTCTTCTTCTAAATTACCAAAATGCTGAGTATTATATGGCACCTGTAGTAGCGCCAATTCCACTGATCAAAGCAGTCAATTTGAGTTTAACCTTGCCATGGCAACGGTTTGTTTCTTCTCCGAACTATGTATCTTAGCCAGCTTTGTGTAGATGAACATTTCAAGCCATGAGAGCGGAAGGGGGGAAGTCAAAATGCCTCTCTCAACTAAAGCTGAGAAGGATCCATGTTGGTTCACAAGAAGAAATCTGCAGTTGGGCAATATATTTATTTGGACCAAAAAACAAAACGTCGAAAAATTGAGGATTTTGGTCTCGTGAACTCAGGATGTTAAGTGAGGGTTTTCATTTTTATTAATGCCCTTTCCCTGATTTTCCACAAACTAAGTGCAAATGTTTTAAATTTAGAATTATTTCCCAAACTGTCTTTTTTATTAAAACCTAACCTACTTATTGTAACATATCCATTAAAGACAGATTTGTATGTAATATAGATTAATGCTGTTTTTACCATTTCCTGAATAATTATGTAGGAGTTGTACCATGATTATTATAATGTGGTTTTCTTTCCTGGTTACATTCCTAGCTGCGTGTTTTGCTCAGTCTCCCTACCAGTGAAAGTGTTAGTCATGGGCAGAGATGTCAAGAATTGCTGAGTGTACACAATGGTGCATTGTGCTTGAATTCTGTGGGATTCTTGCCTGTTTCCTACCATCAGCAGCTTGGGTTCATAAGTAGGATTTGTGTTCCCTGTGTGTGCTGTTCATTTTTAGGATTTGCTTTGGCATTAAATCAGAGGCACTTTCTAGCATTCGAGCCTAAGTAGTTTAAGGCAGTATGATTTATTGCTTCCATATGATAAGTTCACTTTTTCATATCACTATAAGAGCTTAAACAATAAGAGCTCATTTAAAATATTTCTATATAAGGTGATCCCAGAGCAGGTTGCAATTAATTGCGCCTTGAGGGCCCCAGGACACCCCCCATATAAATAAATTCACGTGTTTTAGTTTAAAGGTTGATGGGCAAAATTGAGGCCACAACTTTATTGATTACACAATGTGAGGGGTATTGGCTTAGGCATTGGTAAACTATAACTGACTCCTGCCCACCCAGCAGGAAGTTTGGAAGGGTAAACACCAAACGATGGAGCTACGATGGCGGCTAACAGATTGAGGTTGAATCCTGACAAGATAGAAGTACTGTTATGGGGGGACAGGAGGCGGGCAGGTGTGGAGGACTCCCTGGTCCTGAATGGGGTAACTGTGCCGCTGAAGGGCCAGGTGTGCAGCCTGGGAGTCATTCTGGACTCACAGCTGTCCATGGAAGCGCAGGTCAATTCTGTGTCCAGGGCAGCTGTCTACCAGCTCCACCCAATACGCAGGCTGAGACCCTACCTGCCTGCAGACTGTCTCACCAGAGTGGTGCATGCTCTAGTTATCTCTTGCTTGGATTACTGCAATGCGCTCTATGTGGGGCTACCTTTGAAGGTGACCCGGAAACTACAACTAATCCAGAATGTGGCAGCTAGACTGGTGACTGGGAGAGGCTGCCAAGACCACATAACACCGGTCTTGAAAGACCTACACTGGCTCCCAATATGTTTCTGAGCACAATTCAAAGTGTTGGTGCTGACCTTTAAAGCCCTAAACGGCCTCGGCCCAGTATACCTGAAGGAGCGTCTCCACCCCCATCGTTCTGCCTGGACACTGAGGTCCAGTGCCGAGGGCCTTCTGGCGGTTCCCTTGCTGAGAGAAGCCAAGTTACAGGGAACCAGGCAGAGGGCCTTCTCATTAGTGGCACCCGCCCTGTGGAACGCCCTCCCACCAGATGTCAGAGAAAAACAAGTACCAGACTTTTAGAAGACATCTGAAGGGAGCCCTGTTTAGGGAAGCTTTTAATGTTTAATAGACTATTGTATTTTAATATTCTGTTGGAAGCCACCCAGAGTGACTGGGGAAACCCAGCCAGATGGGCAGGTTATAAATAATAAATTATTATTATTATATTACTACATCGATGAAGACCAACTGAAGCTCACCCTAGGGTTCCTGTGGTCCTGGCATGGCCCCAGCCGCTCAAGTGGACTTCAGACACGATCCAAGACCCCCAGATTCCTTTAACAGAATACCCTTTTTATGGAAGGGCAGGTGATGGCTGCCCCTCCCTCCCACACACATCATTGAGCCTTACAAAGTTGTGACAATTGCTGAGAGGCAAGCGAAAACCAAGTGGCCAGTGCCAATCTGCCAAATGGAAAAATTCCTACCCTGACACAAGACAGGTGACCAACCGAAGTCCAAAGCAAGGCCAAAGCACTCAAACCAAAGAAGGGGCGGGGGCGTAGCTGTCAACTTTCAGATTTGAAAATAAGGGATCAGCAGCCTCACCTGTCCTGGGGACAGTCTATGGGATATCTAACAATCCGGGATAGCAGCGGGAAACGGCGCTGGAATAAGGCAATTTCCCACCAAAAAAGGGAAGGTTGACAGCTATGGGCAGGGGTGTTCAGCAGCGTGAAGCAAGTGCCTCAGCCACATCAAGCTGCCGCTTAAATAGGTCCCACAATCACTCCACTCTGATTGGCTAATAAGCCTGGCGTGATCGTGGGGCCATCCCAGCAAGGTCCGGGCAATGCCCAGCCCAAGGTCCTGTGTGCAAGCAGGACCATCGTTGAAGAGGATCCCATTTGCCAGTAAACTGCATAGCAAGCAATAGCACATCAAGAATCCAAATATATATATAGTACCAGCAGAGTAGACATTATTTTTATTGATTTATTTATTGATAATAACTCTATACCACCCTTCATCTGAGGATCACTCACAGGTTGGTTTGCAATATAAAAACACAAAAATACATAAGAAGAAACTAGATAAACGTTGTTGTCCCTCCCCCCCCCCCGTTTAAAAGGCTATATATTGTTTAATTGGCCATGTAACCAAGTTTAAGTATGTTCAACCTTGTGGCACTTTCAGTTTATTGTATAGTGCTAGTATTTGTAAACAGATGCTTCATTTACAATATCGTACGACAGTACTTGTTAGAATCCATAACACCATAGATAGCACCAAGTACAGAGACCAAGTCTTTAATTGGTATCGAAAGCTTGAGATAGTTGATAACAATCAAATTTCGGAGGGAGGGCGTTCCAGAGTCAGGCTACTTGTACAGTGGTGCCTCGCAAGACGAAATTAATCCGTTCCACGAGTGTCTTCGTCTAGCGGTTTTTTCGTCTTGCGAAGCAACCCTATTAGCGGCTTAGCGGATTAGCGCTATTAGCGGTTTAGCGGCTATTAAAGGCTTATCGGCTTAGCTGCTAAAAGGCTATTAGCAGCTTAGCGGCTTAGAAAAAGGGGGGGAGCGGAAAAAAAATCTCAAGACTCGCAAGACATTTTCGTCTTGCGAAGCAAGCCCATAGGGAAATTCGTCCTGCGAAGCAACTCAAAAACGGAAAATCCTTTCGTCTAGCGGGTTTTCCGTCTTGCGAGGCATTCGTCTTGCAGGGCACCACTGTACTGAGAATGCCTGTTCCTGTGTCACCACAAATTTTATTTCGGAATATTTTGAAATAATCAAGAGATCATACGTGGCAGATCGGTAAGAGAGAAACTGCCCTTTTAATTTAGATCCTAGGCTGTTAAGGGCCTTGTTAATACAAGTACCACTCAGTAGCTAATAAGCAACACTTTGCTCACTGGAGATTTGTGTGCTTGGAAAACAGCCCCACACAAAAGCCTGTGTGGGGTCAAGATAACCTACTCAATGTGAAGCTTGTAGGAAGTTTGTGTTGTATGAGTGCTTGGTGAGAGAGAAATGGTTTGCGAAGCTATACTCAATACACAAAATACTGGGCTGTGCTTTAACCACGCAAACATGTGTGCCTACTATATGCCAAAACAATTGCAGACATGGATATTTCCAAGCATATTTGGTGCATGGGGATATTTTTCAGGACATAGAAGACATGATTTTAAAATTGTAATATCTGCAGTGATTTTTAATGGAGATGTTAAATTTGCTTCTGCCTGATTACTCATTGTTGCTGCGATGTAAGAAAAAAAGGAAGTTCACTTTTTGTTCCTAATATTGTGGAATATTGGTTTACAAGCAAATTTTTTGTGCTCTTTTTTTTCTTTCCCTTCTCTTACCACTTTCACTCCTTAGAATATATATTTCTCTTTCTGTGATTCCTTTACAGCTGCTGCTGCACATAGAGTCTGATTACGAACATGACATGTTTCAAAGACCCACCACCTTTTTCTGGTGTAGCAATGAGGATTCTGCTCCTTGTTTAGATATCTCTTCCATTACACTAACTCCTATGAACTCTCCTGACTCCAGACACTCATCTGGACTATTAACACCACCACCTACCAAAAGTGGTCTTCCAAAGCCAGTCCATGAACACAGCATCCCAAGACCTCGTGTAATCCAGCTGGGCACAAACAGTCAAAAAAAAATTTCAACCTTCCTTTCTTTGTTGTGTATGAATTGTATCAAAGTGCTACATTTTGTACAGTGGTTAAAGGACAGGCCAGAAGCATTTCGTCTACTTCTGAGCAGTGCAGAAATGTTCGGCATACCGAAATTGACTCTCCTTTAAAAACACTTAAGGATAAGCTTGCGCTATATTGTTTGGGCTGTCTGGTTAAATTGAGAAAGCAAATGGAATTCGTATACCTCAATCCCAAATGCACTGACGTAAAAATAAGCGTCAAGGTTACTGGCTTTGTTTAGAATTCCAGCCTTGTATCATTTAAAAAAATATATGGGAACTATTAATTACCAATAGAGAAAGTGAAAGATGAACCCTGTCTACAGGTT